TCTTCTAACTCTTTTTATTTCATTAATAAATGAAAGTATTATTTTTCGATTCGCTGCTCTGCGAGTACAAGAAAAAAAAGTGAGACGTTGGTGGGTCAATCAATAAAAGAAAACGACAAGGATTCCTATGTAATATATTTTGCGAAATTAGATTAACTGACCATGAAGAATTTTTTGCTTACACTCGACTTTGGCCTGAACAATATAAAATGCTACTAGAATTAGTAACTTCATATTTGAGAAAACGTAGCAATCGAAAACCTTTCTCGCCTCATGCGCGGTTAGCCGTAACTTTGACGTAAATAATTACAATTGTTAAGTATTTTATTGCCTTGATGCATAATTTATTTATTTAATAATTAATGTAATAAATTATTTAATAAATAATTCATTTAATTGCTTTCTTCTTTTCGCAGGTATCTTGCTCCGGCGATTCTGTGCATAGCAAACATTTAGAATTTCGTATGGGAAAATCAACTATATATAAAATTATATCCGAAGTATGCCAAGCGATATGGCTTGCTCTTCAACCTACCTATATATTTTGCCCACATTAAATTCTGAAGAATGGAAAAAGATAAGCGAAGACTTTTTTCTTAAATGGCAATTTCCAAATTGCATTGGGGCACTTGATGGTCGTCATATGGAAATACAAGCACCGCCATACTCAGGATCTCAATTTTATAATTATAAAGGATATTTCAGTATTGTTCTTATGGCGATGTGTGATGCTAATCACAAATTTATATGAGTTGACATTGATCAATTTGGTAAGTAAATTTAAGTAAGTATTCTTAATTAATGATGCCAATCGTTGTATCATTAGTATGTAAAAATAAACATATGATTCCTTTGCAGGTTCATTAAGCGACGGTGGCGTATAGAGTCGGAGAGATTTGGCTAATGATTTAGAATATGGTAAAGCAAGTTTACCAGAACCTACACCTTTACCAAAAAGAAATATTCCTTTCCCTTATGTTGCTGTAGCTGATGAAGCATTTCCTTTGAAACCATATTTAATGCGTCCTTTTCTAAGAAGAATAGTTAGAATGACAGACGGAGAGCGAGTATTTAATTATCGTCTAAGTCGAGCAAGATTGACTATAGAAAATACCTTTGGTATTCTTGTTTCTCGATGGAGGATCCTGCATAGAAAACTATATTACTCAGTAGAGAATACACAAAGAATTTGTAAAGCACTTGTTTGTTTACACAATTTTGCTATGATTGATAATAATCGTGATATTGCCCACCTGATTAGCTGGATGTAAAAGATAAAGGAATGCTTATAGAAGGTCGATGGCGTGATATAGGAGCTGGACAATACTTTAAGGAATTATCAAGAGTGGGATCTAACAGAGCTGATGCTATTTCTATAGGCTTACGCAATTACTTAAAAGATTATTTTATGTCACCCATTGGCAAGGCTCAAGTACCGTGGCAACTTCAAAAAGCATTTAAGGGATTCAATATTAATTTACCTGCTTAATATAAAATGTGTGTGTGTGTGTGTGTGTGTGTGCGCGCGCGCGCGCGCATTGCATGTGTAAAGTGTTTATAAAGTTGTGTATAAAGTTATGTCAGATATAAAATAATATTTATTACTTGTATAAATAAACTTTTTATATTAATATGAAATTATTATATTTATTAAACTAAGACAATATAAACTTATTTTATTTAATACTATTATTCTTATATTAAATAATATATTAAAAACAATACTTCCTTTTACAAACATATAACATAAACATAGTTTTGGATATTTATAATATGCATATACGTATAACATAAATGAACACTTTTTTAGGAACATGAGTTACTTCATCACAATGCTTAATACGTACATTTAGTTTTTAAATGAAAGAATAAGAGTATTTCAAAAATAACGCAAAAAATATTATTATAATCCCATATTAAAAACAATATTTTTTTCGCAAACATGTAACATAAAAATATTTTTGGAAATATAATACGCATAACATAAGTAAACGTTTTTAAAGAAACATTAGTTACTTTATCACATGTTTAACTTTGAGAGAAAGACAATAATTGTATTAAAACAAAATTCTATTTTAACTAAAAATATTTATCAGCTAACAATGCTTAATATATACATTTAGTTTTTAAATATAAGAAATATATATAAAGAGAAAAAGACAAACGCTGAAATTAAGTTTCTTGAAAAAAAAAATTAATTTATCAACTTGCTTTTTTAAAAAAACATTTCTCATTAAAAGAAGTTTTTGTTTAAAAGACTTATACAGAAACTCAATTATTACTTACTTTTCAATATATTGTTTTAATAATTGCATGATAGCAATCAAGGAATCTACTTGCTTAGATTCAGGTACTTTTTGCAAAAGAAAACCTATAGAATTTAACATAGTCTGTTGCTAAAACATTTAAATTTTTTGTCTGATCCAATATCGATTTTTACAAGATGTCTGAATTCCGCTTTTGCCGTTTATTAAAAAAATCTGGCTCTGGAACGTGCTTTTCATATGAACTTGCCTTGGCTTGCTGTATTTGTTTTGCAAGTGATATTTTGCTATTGTTATTAGTTTCTGAGTAATACATCATTTGCAGAATAGGATAATTGTTGTGGAATTGAAGACTCGTATATATCTGAAGATTTAGTAATATCATCCGAAGATTTGCTGATCTCATCAAAAGAGTTGCAGATCTCATATGAAGATTTGCTTATATTAGCTGAAATACCAAAACTAATACAGTTAAAAAACAAAAGTGTCGAATTTTTCTATTCTATTTAAGTCTCTTTATTTGTAATACAATTGTATTACAAATAAAAGTAAAAAATTTAGAAACTAACATTTAGATGAAATAAGTGGCAATTCTTCACTCCGCATGCTCGGTGTTGCTAAAGAACTTGACATAGAAGTTGAGGGAATCTTCACTTGTGATTCAGCTTCATATGTTGGACATTTTCTTTATAATTTGACGTAGTTCTAAACAAAACAAAATAAAAATAAATAAATTTATAATTTAATATAATTTAGCATAAAAACAAAAAACTAATACTTGCTTTCGATGTTTTATCACATCAGTCAGGGTGCCATTACATGAAGCGCGGAACGCGGAAACGCGGAAAGGCGGAAAAGAATTGTAACTAGATTTACTAGATTTTCGCGCTTCCGCGAGTTGAGTCCCGCACGTTTGAGCGGAAAAGCGGAATCCGCTATTTCATTATGTGCACGTGGAACATGAGCTACTTACAAAGTGTACAGAAAGAAAAAGAATTTCAAATGAATCGCCCTGTAAGTATTTAGATAATATTTAATACTCAATAAACGTGATAGCTCTGTTATTTTTGTAGACATAAGAAAGCACAGGCTGCTTTCCGAAACTGCCAGTATTGAAAATCTACAATATACGTGACATATAGATTTCCAGTGCTTAATTTCGGCATACCCAACAGCCGTAATCAAATTGAACAGAATTAAAGTGATTATAACATTGTCATAACCTCACTTTATGTAAAATAAAGATAATTAAATAATTGTATATTTGTTCGCAGGCAACGAAATGTGGCTATTGCGGGTTTATTTTACGAGGGTCATGTGGAACAATTTTAGACCACCATTGCTTCAGTACATACGACGAAAATGCCCACGTCATTAATGTTGACGAAAATGCCGTGGTCACTATGAGTAAGTTATTATATTTATTTATTTGTGTAGTTCTTGAGAAAGGTTTTATTATCCGTTATAAATTTTGTCTGTTACGGTAAACATTTTCGGTAAGTCATTGTTTACTTATTTATTTTAAAGGAAAGAGACATGAAACTGAAGATGTACAGCATTCGAAAGAAGGAGCTGTACAATCTACACAGTCTATACTCACACAAGATGAGTTGCTGATTGAATTTGTTCGTATCCGAAGGGGTTTGTGGGACCATTCCCTTCCGACCAGCGAAAGAACAAGATTAAAAAAAGATAGTTTATGGCAAGAGATTGTAAACGCATTTGATGGTAAGATCATTTTTTAATTACTTGTATGAATTATATTATCTGTGTATAAAAGTAAATAATAAACGATTCTTTATACAATCATAGGATCCCTGTCTATGGAAGCAATAAAGCAGAGATGGAAATACCTTCGAGATTCGTATATGAAGGCTAGAAAGAAAATGCGAAGATACGTGCGAAGTGGATCAGGGGTGGAATCTGGCCATCCATTACGAAGTTCTTTTGCTCATTACGAAGAAATGAGATTTCTCGACGATACAATAAAGACAGCACCGTAAGTATTTGCATTGTTTTTTATAACTGAGATTTTATAAATATTCAAATTGTGTGCAATTGGATTTAATAATTTGTAAAATCATTTTGATTTCAGGACTGTCAGCTCCATTCAGCACATTTCTGAAGCGAATTCATCCCATGTTGACATGGATAATATGCAAGTGGACATGACTGCAGACAACTTGATCGATTTTGATGATTCTACACAGAATTCTGCATGTTCACCATCAGAATCATCACGAAAATCGTCATGTTTATCGCCAGGGGTGAAAAGGAAAAGTAAGTGGCAATTGTTTTTTTGGTTTTGTGTTTTTTAGGTACTTACCATATATACGCATATATTACAGATGCGCAAAGGCAAGCAGAAATCGAGGATAAGTTTTTAAGTATAATTGATGAGGTATCTCAGAAGAAACATGATATTGTCGATAGTTTTATGGACCAACTTGGTGACATTCTACGCCGACTATCATACGTACGACGTAGAAACCTGCAAAGAAGACTTATGAATATTGCTATAGAAGAGGAGGATGCCGAATTTCTGGAGAAAGGGAATGATAAGATGTAATAGAAATGTTCTTTTTTATTATAAATTTTATTTTAAATATTATAAGTATTAAGTTTAATATTATCAATTTTATTTTAAATATAAATTTTTCATTTTGTTTATTATAAAGAATAAAATATATTTGTGTTATTATAAAGAATAAAATATATTTTTGCATTCAGTTCATTATATTGTTGTACGAAGTACTCTGTATTATTAAACTTTGAAAATATATAAAAAGACTACGTACGAATGTTGTGTCGTAAAAAACTTTCGAATTATATACTTTTAAAAAATACTTTTACAAAATTATTGACAAGTGCGTTAAAATTACATGATGTCTCAAAAGTTGTTAGTTAAAACTTTGTCCCACTGCCACGATAGAGGATTGACATGCTCGAAATAATGTGCAAAGTTATCTCGAATTTTCACTGCTGCAGATTTTTGCGAAGCATTTCTGTAACTTACAGCTGTAAGTCCATTACTTGTAGCCAAGAGAATGCGCTCTTCTTCTTGTATATTACAGTATCTTCTTTCTGGAAATGGTAAGTCCAGTTCTTTATTAATAATAAAATTATGCAAAATAACCGTTGCTTGTACAGCTTTTACGGCAGTAGATGTGCGTGCAACAATAGGTTGACGATATATTCTCCATCTTGCAACCAAAATCCCGAAAGCACATTCAACTGTTCTTCTTGCTCGACTCAGGCGATAGTTAAAAATTTTTCTGTTGATATTCAGCCGTCGACTCCGAGGATATGGTCGCATCATATATGTGCTTAGAGGAAAGGCCTCATCTCCCAATAAAACGTACGGAAAATCAAAATCCATATTATTTAGACGCCTAGGTGGAGGAATATGGAGAGCATTCGTCTCAAGTAAATGCGGTAATCCGCTACTATCAAAAACACCTCCGTCGCTGTGCCTTCCTTCAGCTCCAATATCAACAATAGTGAAGCGGTTCTTGACATCACTTATTGCGAGCAGGTTTATGCTATGATTTCCTTTATAGTTGTAATAGCATGAACCACTACGAGGCGGTGCCTGAAATTGGAAACTATCATTGTAATAAACACATTTTCATTCCAAATATATATATAATAAATTTAATAAATAATATATAATAAATTCCTAATATACATACCTGAATAACGACATGCTTCCCATCGATAGCGCCTATACAATTGGTAAATTGGCATGTTGTCTCAAAATCGCCTGCAATCATACTCCAATTTTCTTCAGTTGGATCAATCATAACTTTTTCCTTTAAGGAAAGCCAAATTGCTTGACAAGTTTCCGGAATAATTTGTGATAGCGTACATTGAGCAATACGATAAGCATATGATAACGATGTCATGCTGTCGCCAGATGCCAACCATCGTACAGTCACTTCTAATCTCGTTCTGGCCGGTATTGATTTTCGAACTACATTTTGTTTTTCAATTAGTGGTCCAACAATATTAAGTAATTCATTGAAGGTTGTTGGTGACATTCTAAGGTAGTTGAAGTATTTTTCCGGATCTGTCAATCGCATCTCCACAAGTAAATTGTCGCTGGCACCTTGCAGAAGTCTTCTTCTCTCGGTAAAAATAGGCCGTACCCATATTTTACGATCATTTTTGCGTTCTCCCAATTTTTTGTAACGCAAATACAAATAAAACAATGAAATAACTTTTTTTATAGTTATCTCAGCATATCTCAATGGTTCATCTTTTGCTTGCATAAGATACTTCATAATAATTATTAGCATGATATTTGGATCCATTATATACAGCCACTTATTTTAAAATATAATAGAAGAATTAACAATTTTCTTTATTATTCCGGTTCCGAAATTTAATGACACTTCAGAATACACTCCGCGAAGGAATGAATATTCGCGTTGACAACAGATTTTGACAACAGATTTTCGCGCTCGTTCTGCGAATTTGTTTGTCCTTATATTACATGGAGGACAATTACGCGGAAAAGCGGAACGATATAGTGACAAATAGGTATTTATATTCATTTTTAAAAATTATGTATACTTAATTCATTGCAATTTTTATTAATATGCTTACCTTATCAGCTTGTCTAATGAATATGAGCATTTTAATCAACAAATACCGTTAAAAATTAATATTTTATAATTCTCCGTTCCGCTTTTCCGTTCAAAATATGCTCCATGTAATATAAAGCAATCAAAACAGACGGAATGAAACGCGGAAAACGCGAGAATCTAGTATAAATCTAGTTACAATTCTTTTCCGCTTTTCCGCGTTTCCGCGTTCCGCGTTTCATGTAATGGCACCCTCAGGAACATCAACTCATTATAAAGATTCCATTGAGATGTATATATTAGATGGGTAATTCCAGCGCCTGATCGACCTTGAGATTGAATCACTTTTTTTCTTTCTCTTCCAAATGTTGTCGCAATTGCCAAAATCTATGTTCGGCCTCGGTACCTGCGCATAAATATAATTGCATTCATTATATAAACCTATATCGATTTTTTAGCGAAAATTTCTAAATATTTGACAGATTTCAAGTAAATAAATCGTGCAAATACTTACCAGTCTTCGTTTTGGATAATCCTTCTCCAACAGCATTCCAAGCTAACCTTTTAATTTCAGTATTGCTATACAGCTTTTCTGCTTTATTGTATAAAAAAGGATTGGCTTTAACTATTGTAATGAGCTCTTTATCATCTAACTCATCATTATCTTCATATTCGTCCATTTCCTCTTCTTCTCGTTCCGTTTTCGAGTAATGTAATACTACTGAACAACACCACTGCACATAACCCAACATAACCAGATTACAAACAAAATGAAAATTTTTCATTTCATTTGTAATCTGGTTACGTTTCATTAAACTGAAAACAGGCCCTAAAGGGCTATCATAAAAATGACATTTTATAGTTACATATGCATAGCATAAGATCGTTGAACCAATGAACTTGTAATGTAAATCAATATGGCGATTTATTCTGGGTGCTCATTGGTCCAAAGATCTTACTTTATACGCATGCAGCTTATGTATACAACTGCGTTTACAGCTTTACGATATTATGTTACGGTCATTGTAGAGTAGGCTTAAACCTAATTAAACGTTGCCGTGTAAACATACTCAATGAGATTATAAGAAGACTTAAGGCGTAAGATTTAAGAAATTGACCAAATACAGTCAAGTATTAAGAGAATATTCGATTGTGATTGGTCAATTTCTTAAGTCTATAGCACACACTTTTCATAAGACATAACAGTAAGGTTTCGACCATTCGCGTTGCTCAATTTGGTTATGGACGGCCAAATTGAGCAACACGATTGGTCGAAACCTTACTATTATGTCTTATGGAAAGTGTGTGCTATAGCCTTTAAGGGTTGTCTATAATGGCTGTAGCATAAGATTGTAAGGAGTAATTGACCAAGGATTGTAAGATTGTAATTGACCAATGCCGAGCATTCTCTTCATAAGTCGTGTTCCGAAATTACTACCAGTACTGCAAATTCTATAGTGCACGTTACGTATATTATATATTTTCAGTGTTGGCAGTAAACTGGCAGCAATTTCGGAACACGACCATACTTGACTGTAATTCGTCAATTTCTTGAATCTTACGCCTTACAACCTTTTGATACGGCCACTGTGGACGACCCTAAGGCATCGTCTACAATGGCAGTAGAATTAATGAATTAAAGCTGTAACTCAATAAATTGACCAATCATAGCCGAGTATTTTTTTAATGTTTGAATGTGATTGGTCAATTCCTTACTGCTTTAATCCATTAATCCTACTGCCATTGTAGACGACGTATTAAGCGTCTTCTACAATGAGATTTTAAGGCGTAAAACTTAAGAAATTAATCACAGTCAAGTATGTAGAGAATACTAGACTGTGATTCGTCAATTTCTTATGTCTTACGCCTTAAAATCTTATTATAGAAGATGCTTAAAGGTCTTCGAACGTACAAAAATTTTAGTCGTAATCGTAAGTGCGTAAGAAAACTGACAAATTAGTTGAGTAGTTGAGTATTCTTTCGGCGATAAAATAATAATTAACTGTGATTGGTCAGTTGTCTTATGACCATACGGTTACGACTAAAATTTTTGTACGTGCAAAGGCCTTAAGCGTCTACAATGAGTACATTTACACGGCAACATTAATCAGGTTTAATAACAATCGTAGTTATAACTCCCTAAAAGTGATGGTTGTTTACACGCAAGGAACAATACAAGCAATCACATAGCAATTACATATTTACTTTAACTTATTGGCAGTTTTTGTATACTAGTACTCGTCACTTGATTATTCAGGTTGGTAATACGATTGTTATAACTCTCGTAGCGTTTACATGTCTTCTTAAAGCTGAATTTGTAAATCTACTCCTTTTCTTCAGCAGGAGTAGCGTTACTACAAATGGTGTAATAACATCGGCGTAAAGGACGGTTTACACGGCATATAACACCAGTAGTTACAACAGCCGTTACTAAACCTGATTAAATTTGTTTAAAATTTAAATTCTTTATTCTGACTTGACTTGGTCTAGCGGTTTACAGTACAAGTAAGAATCTGATTGAGTTTAAATCTGGAGTGAATCTGTGAGAACGAGAATGAGAATAAACTGAACTTAGCTTGAGAACGAGAATGAGGTTGAATTGAGCTGAACTGATCTTTTCTTCCGTTGTTGGAAGTTTTTATACTCTTTTAAAATTGAATGGTAGGGGTAATTTATGACGAAGTTTTAAGAACAAATTCTTTAACTATGAAACGGAACTTTTTGCGAACTTCTTGGGTGGTCTTTAAGAGAAAGTTTTTCTAGGAATACATATTAATTGATTCTCCGAATGCATTGCTTGCAAGGTTGTGTCTTACATACATTATAATAAATTATGATAAATGACCCTTTTCAAAGAATTACAATAATTATTTGATTATAATGATTATTTAAAATATTGGTCATTTATCATAATTTTTACATAAATAGATTCTCTTTAATCTTTTAAACATTTTTATTACAATATATTTTTATATAAAAGAAGCTTATGTTTAAAAGGACTTCCTTATATCGGTCTTTGTCTTTCCTAAGTATTACATATAAGTCTATCTCGCTCGTATACATGATTCATATATATATATATCTCTCTCAGATTAGTATTTTATTATAGGTGACGTATAAGTGTGTCTCTCTTAGTTTCTATGTTAGTTTGTGCTTGTAGCTTATTGGATGGAGGATAGTGAGAAAGGAAAAAATTTCTACTAGATCTAAAGATCTAGGGATCTATCGATCACCGGACGTGACAATATATATATATACAGGGTCTACCAAAAGTGTGGAAACCCCTAAATATCTCGGAAAATATACGTTTTACAGAAAAGTGTTTCCAACAAAAGTTGTAGGGTTTAAGAAGATCTATATACTGATTCTATCAGTTTGACCTTGGATGGCGTCGTCAAGGTCAGGTCAAGGTCACATTGACTTTTTTAAATGACACCCCCTACATTTGATTGCATATTCTTATAGCTTAATTCAAGAGCTTTCCAAAACACTATAATAATGTTCATTTTTATTAAGTACTTTGCGAGTTATGAGGGTTGAAATAATTTCTTAATTTTACATAAACCATAAAATATCTAGTAAACCATTCATTTTTCGATTATCTTACCTTCATACTTTTATGTACAAATTAATGAGAGGAATCAATTGGTGTAAAGAAAACACATAGTTGTTTCTAAGAAAAAATATGTAATTTGCAATTAACAATTCCATATTTTTTCTTAAAAACAACTGTATGTTTTCTTTACACCAATTGATTCCTTTCATTATTTTGTACATAAAAGTATGAAGGTAAGATAATCGAAAAATGAATGGTTTACTAGATATTTTATGGTTTATGTAAAATTAAGAAATTATTTCAACCCTCATAACTCGCAAAGTACTTAATAAAAATGAACATTATTATAGTGTTTTGGAAAGCTCTTGAATTAAGCTATAAGAATATGCAATCAAATGTAGGGGGTGTCATTTAAAAAAATCAATGTGACCTTGACCTGACCTTGACGACGCCATCCAAGGTCAAACTGATAGAATCAGTATATAGATCTTCTTAAACCCTACAACTTTTGTTGGAAACACTTTTCTGTAAAACGTATATTTTCCGAGATATTTAGGGGTTTCCACACTTTTGGTAGACCCTGTATATATATATATATATATATATATATATATATATATATTATACACATATATATGTATAATTTATACATTTGTTTGGTTTAGAATGTATCGACAATATTATATGTGACCAAACAATAAATTATGAACGTTTAAACTTGGTCATCCAATTAAAAGGTTACCAACAAAACGCTCTTTATATAAAAACAAAAGGATTAAACAAGCTCAAAAGGATATAGTTAATAAAAGGATATCACTTCAACCATTTTTACAATTATTTGGACAACCTGCAGAAATATTAGTAATTAATGATCAGTGTTCCTTCCTGTAAATGTATGATATAAAAATATTAAATATCTTACGCAATAATAATAAGGCAATCATATTCGATAATAATAAAGCAACATATACTTTAGACTTACTTTAATACATAAGATATGTATGTATACATACATCTATATACATACAAAGATACAAACAAATTCATCATTTTACACATACGTGCGCGCGCACGCACGCAAACACACACTACACACAATACATACTTA